GCTGCCACTTCAGGCCCTATGAGCCGAGAGTATAAAACAAATAATAAAGAGAGTATAAGGATACTTCTTCGGTTCGAGTAAGAAGGCGGAACAACCTGAAGATGTGCTACCTCTTCTGGTTCGGTCAAATAGGCGACAATTTCTGGGTCCTCCCCATTCAGAGTAAAATTCTCAAATTTGGGGAAGGGAATAATTCCTGTAGTGAAACTTGTGAAGAAGGGCGTAGGTACTGACTACCACATCAGTCCACACTAACAAGCCTCTGTGGAGTCGAAATATCTACCGTACATAGCATACCTAGCAATTCCAGGTAGAAGAAGAGCGCGTTGTTCACTTTAACATGACTAATCTGCGATGAGCGATTTTTTCTTTAAGGAATGATGAAACATATAAAGGCACTGTTCCAGCTTTCGGAAAGGATTTCCTCACAGAACGGTAGCTCAGTTAAAGCAGGCTGCCTTCTAGCTAATGAGGAGGTGGACCGTCTTGAATTACTTCCTTGCCACTGCGCTATACACCTCATGACAGCTAAATGACCTTATCTTCAATATTAACGTACCATTCGTATATACAGCAACATAATCCAGTCCGCGATCTTCTCGATGAAGTTGATCACAGAAGCTTCCGACGTCATCCGTCAACGGCCTCAGAGAAAATTGGCATAACTCTTGGCGTGACGGTAGGACGACATCCAGCAGGGGGAGACCTCTTTCGAAGCGGACCGTAATCGTCGAATGAGCGGCAGGAAGTGTCGATGGAGCTTTATCGGAACAGTACGACTGAAAAAAATTCGAGTAATTTCGTGGTGTTACCGTAACAAGTAAACCGTACAAATTGTTCTAAACAGTTCAGGGTCACTGCTATCCTACTACACATATATAATAAATAAATAGGAAAATATGTTTATGGATGCATGTATGTATCGGAAAGTCTGCTCCACCTCTCATTAATTCATAATTTTTTGACCGTCAGGGACTGAAAGATCGTACCTACTCATTTGGAAGGAAATTCAAAGAGATCGTAGGACTGTGTCAGGTGGAGCCTCCATAAATTTCAAAACTTTTTTTGTTCGAGGCACTGTCTACACCCATTGGCGACTTCCACTTTACACGAGCCCTGAAGATCAGTTACGAATAGAGACAAGTTCCCGTGTAGGAGGAAATCTAGTATCTACTCGCTACGGGGATTTCTACCGATCAATGAGTGGCAATCGGATTTTAACGGTTTCTTACACAAAAAAATTAAATTGAGTGACTCGCCTAACCACTAGGCTAGCACTGTTCTATAAAATAAACTTTTCTAACGGCCAACAGCTGCTCGTATTGACTGGAGTTTTCGACTTTTAGTGGTTCGAGAACTGGGGGTGACGACTCACAGCGATTGAACATGGTCATCCAGCCTGAACCTCAGCCAAAAGTAGGACAAATACGATAGCGGCTGAATTCGTCCCTGTTCAAAAAGGAGCGCAGCTATTGTAAATTATCGCGTGGAAGAAATGAGAATCCAAGAGCGGTAATAAATCAGACCGTGGAAGCAAATAGCTCCAACAACCAACAACATCCATTTACATTCACCGTTCCACCACGACGCCAAGTTTTTTTTTTCACAAATTTTGCCATAAACCCTAATGGAAAGAGCGAGATTGAGCTTCCTGTTGGGTTAGAAACTTATCCACAAGTGATTAATTAAAATGTTTTCCCTATAAACCAGTAAACAAACTATTTGATCACACGACACCAAAACACCAACTGCTCTGTTCGACATTCCCAGGGGATATGTTGCTGCCGGTTTCTTGAATTCAATGAATGCATTCATTCATATTTAACAGGTTAGAAAACGAGCAGTAAATCATCGGGGCTTTGCCCATATTACTTTACCAAAGTCAGTGGGCTGAAGTCGATTGGGTAATGAGGCGTTTGGCTGGAGGTATGCATTACAAGCTGTCTCATTTGAAACGCTCATCGCTGATTTACAACGTATGGCACATTCCGTGAATGCCTGGAGTGCCGACAAAATTTGAAAACCACCGTGGAACATGCCTGAAGCAGGACTCTGACATCTGTTAGCTTTTCATTCCTATCGTTATGAAAGAAATAAGAAATAGGTGTTCAATAGATGCCAGGGGAACAGGCCTAGCCCATGGTCTCCCTCACAACCGATCTCTTTCCACCTACAACCTCTCCGGGAAATTGCTAAGAGAAAAAAGCTCAACTAGCTATT